AGTTGATCGACACACATCATGTAAGAAAACTAGCAGAACATGATAGAATATAAGTGAGTTGTGTTTATTGTGTATAAACTTGGATTTATATACAAGTGATAAAGAACTAAATTGCATTTAAAGATAATAAAAAGAATAATTATAAATATATTATTAATAAATGTAGACCACATTAATCCAATGATTATTTCCTTCTTTTTTAAATTATTATTTCTTTTTCAATGTACGTTTTCCTTTATAAATGAATCGATCAAGTGATCGTTTACAATTTTTTTTTATTGTGGATCACAATATTCACAATATCGATAAGCATGGAATAACGAATAAAAACGCAAGAATTGGTAGAACAAATATCCAGAAAAAAAACTATCTTTTTAATGATTGGATTGATTTGCTTCCCGAATGAACACCAAGCTTTTATCTACTTGATAATCGCAGTGCCATCTTCTTTCTTCTGAATGCAACCCAAGTTCTCTTCATGGCTACGTTGGGAATTGGCAGAAGTAGACAAACGCCTTTGATGAGAAGAAAGAAGACGGGGAAAGGGAAAGATCAGGTTCCGGTTGACATCACAGTGAGTGGCACAACCACGGCTGGTGGATCGAAGTAGTTGTAATGATCCAAGTGATGTGAAGTAGGGACATGTCCACCCACAGATTTTTCTGACGTATGAATCAACAAAGGAGAAAAGGATACGTTATTTTATGTCAAACACTTTGCAACCTTTTCCCTTAAAGTCCGCCATTTTCTCTACCTGATCCAAGTGACAGGGATGCTTCACCAGAAAAGAGAGAGTAGATGGTAGATGTCCTTCCATCTTGACTTGTTAGATGCCACAGATGTGCTATTGACGAACTCTGGTCGCTGAGCTGAGACAAAGGAGGACAACAAAATCTGTCGAACACTTGATCAACTGCAAAGAAGGAAAGAGGAATGAAAATTTGAAGAATAGTCACCCAAAACAAGGATAATGAGAACAAGGTATCCATTTCACCAAACCCACTTTTCTGTGGGTTTGTCATGCTATTTGCACAGCTTTGTTGTGTACAGCCATCAACTTTAGTACTCAGCTCTTAACGTGTTACAAGGTTGACAAAATAATATGCAGTCGTTTACTTGGTTAAAATATTGAAAGATAGATAGAACAGGGCGGTGAAGGCGTGAACGCGGCTCTCGTTTTGTCCAGCGGCGACACGAAATCCGCCTGGTTTTCCTTCCCCGTCCCGTGGCCCCTCTCGCCCTGACACTGGAGTTTCATCTCAGGTAATTTATTATTATTATTATTATTATTATTATTATATATATATATATATATATTATTATTATTATTATTATTATATATATATATATATATATATATATATATTGAAAATATGAATGGTTACGGATCCTCTTCCACAACCGCCCAAAATATGAATGATTTATTTTATTTTTTTAATTCTCAATCTCTTGCAAAAAAATATATAGTATCCACGTCCTGAGTGGGGCTTCTTCAGTCATGTTCGTGATGTCGATGCATGAAAGTTTTCAGTAAAATTAGAAGAAAAATCGAATCGTATATAAACATCATGAAATCTAGAACTGATTTTGAACGAAAAAAAAAAAGATAGATAATATTTGCAAAACTTGATCTATTAATCGGAAGAACATCCTTTCTTGATTTTTTTTAGAATTTATCAAGAAATGAGGTATTTTTTTCTCCCCATCATACTATAGACCTTTGCCTCTAATTTTTTTTGCTTTCCCTTTTATGAATGATAAGGATTTCACCCTGTGAGAAGGTTCTCACAGGAGGACCTTGGTTTCTCAAAGGCCAAGCATTATCTTTATTTCCTTAGAGACAAGAGTTTCAACACTTGGGTTTAATTTTTTAAATTATTTATTAAATTCTTTAATTTTATTTTATTTCTATAAATAGCCTTAGTGATTGGAAAGTCGCTAACGATAAATGATATCATGATAACTAATTTTTTATGAAAAATTTATTATATCTTAATGGATTTTTCTAAGCCATTGTTGTAAGATTTTTGGATAAGAGATGGATCCAATAAGATTTTTCAAACTATTGCTTATCAGATTATCCCTAATCTTTGTTTTAATTATGATATAGTGGGTCACCGTTTAGAGTATTATGTTTCACATAAGTCTATTGTTTTTCCCAAATTGCATAGTGATAATACACATAAGATTTCTAAACCGATACCTAGAGAAAAAGATGATACCTTATACAAGCCTTGGATCAAGGTTCGAAGGAGTAACCGGGTCAGATTGGAGTAGGTCAACCTTGAAGGGCACCTTAGGTCGTTGTCCAAGCCCAATAGGGAGTCTAACGATCATGGGTCGATCTCTAATAATGGCTTTATCTCTGGTTCGGCTGATCATGTTAATGAGTTCACTCAAAGTAGGAGCTGATCCTTTGGCTAACAAAGACAACAAACCTACTCATCTTAAGTGGGCCACTATGAAACTAAAGGTAAATGAAGGCTTTAATGGTAAGTAGGTTACTTCTTATTTGAGACATATGGGAGGTATGGTAGACGATGCCTCTGTATAGCATGCGAAGATAGCTCTTAGCACATCTCTATCTCCTTTCAGTAAGGTATTTTCTACCCTTAAAAACAATGTATAATTGTATAGCTTTGGCACATTTTCGAGTGATCCAAAGGGCATAAACCTAGGGATCTCTACCCTATGGTTTATGTTGTGAAAGAGTAACATTCACTTCCAAACATAAAATAAGGAATAATGAACAAAGGTGATTTGAGGCCCCCACTCCCTTTACTAAGGAAGTTGGGTTAAACCTTGAGGAATTAGTGACGTAGGTGATTGAGGCATTTTATTCAGCAAAAACAGTCTTAGACTTATGTGATAGATATTTTCTTTTGAAAGAGGATGGCCTAGAATAGGCTAGAGAAACTAAATCAGAAGACCTGCTGTATAGGAATTTAAGGAATCCTGAATTCTTATTTCATTACTCTGAAATAAAAAAATAAAAAGAAGAAGACCTCCGTGCTTCTCCATTTAAAAGTCCAACTCGATCCTAAATGTTACTTTTTTATAACCATTCTTTTTTATACTGTTCTTGACATAGAATTACAGGAGCGCACGATAGAAGGAGGGGCAAAGTCATTTAAGACTATTAATTAAGACTCATAATTTGTCCCTAGTAGTACTATTAATTAAGACTGAATATTTATGAGAAGAAGTCATATGCTACTATATTTGTTATTTAGAGAAAGAATCACTTGCTGACTATAAAAATATATAAGAATCAACAAGTATATACCTGATAATTGAGGAGTATAATAAAAACTCTTGGCTTTTTACTTCTCTTTATGTCAGTAATCATGCTTATATTGATCACTCCCTCGTGAATCGATTATTTAGTATTAGTTTTGACTTTATTTCATAGATTGTTTGTGGTAACTTAAACTATATCATTTTTCGTATGAGAAATTAAGAGGCAAACCTTTTCAGTTGAATCACTCAGTGCTTAACTTTTATAATTTTTTGTTTAAGTTCGGGTTGATTGGCTTAGGGTTTTATGGCAATCGGTTTATCTAGACTAATAAAAATATTAGGTGATCTTTGCTAAGTTTGATAGAGCCCTAATAAATGATTACTGGATTTCTTTGTTTCTAAATGTTTTTATTCGACATCATCCAAAAGTTTTATTCGACCATGCTCAAAATAAATCCCACCCCAAATGCTACTCATAAGCCACTTATTTTTAGATACGAGGCATTAGACTATGAAGGTATTTCTTAGATTGTTATTGAGACTACAACTTATTCTCCTATTGTATCTAATCTCATAGTCCACATCCACTCAATGTTTGACAGTACGAGTAGAAAGATGGCTGCTTAGAGTAAGCTAAGACCTCTTGAAAGTAATATCAAGAATACTATTGATGAAATTGCTACCTTTAAAAATAAAGAAAACTTAAGTCCACTGCTATCGAACAATGATTATGTCAACCTTTGTATGCTTAACAGAAAGCTTATGATCCTTTAGAGATACTTGAAATAATGGTCTAGAGTTAAAACTCAATGGATGAATGAGATTGATAATAATACTAATTTTTTTCATAAAATGGTTAGTCACGGGATTAAGAAAAATAATATTCAATTTATCCTTCTTTAATCTCAATGTTTGATCTTTGATGTTAAAGAAATATTACATGAATTTGTTAGCTAGTATCATATATTATGGATTTATGATTGAATTCTTTTATTATTTTTAGAAAATTCTCAATCCCTATATATTTGTTGCATTTAAAATTTTTTATAATTCTATCATTATTCCTCCTAGCTGGAATAATTTTTTTCTAATATTTATTCCTAAAGTCATTAGCCCTAAAAGGATATATGATTTGAGACACAGTCTTTTTTTTTTAATATTATCTATAAGATTTTTACTACGGTACTATCACTTAAACTGATTCCTATTCTATGATCAACTATAGTCCATCTGTTTTCATGAGAGGTCACAACATTCATGATAATATAATTATTACTAATAAGGTTGTCCACACCATATTTAAATTTGGAAGCAAAAAACTCTCTTATTGATATTATTTATACTAAGAATAACCTACTATTTATATTTGGTAAAAAAAAACCTACTACTAATATACACATACATTTATGAGCCCTCCATTCTTTCGTTAAAAAAAAAAAATCAAAATAAATATTCGAATAGGCTTATCGTAACATATAAGCATCAAAGGAGCATAAGATTGTTCATTTACTGCAGTCAAAACAGTCTTATACACTCCATAATATTTCCTCGTCCACTCAGATTTGCCCACGCAATATCTTAATCGAGACAGGGTTTAGCTTTCTGTCTCCTGATCTCTGCCGCGGGGCCCACGGTCCAGTTACACTGGCATGCGATAGAAGTTTTGCCTGCGATGGAAAGAGTGAACCGTGGCTCACGCCGCACTGCTAACCCGTACCCAACGGCGCACCGCTAAATTCCGTCTCTTGTTCACTTCCCCGTCAAAATAAAGAAGAACCCTAGCGGGAAGTCCCCACCTTTCAATCTCTACGACGACTGTTCCCCGGCGTCGGCGACCTGGAAGCGCAAGGGTTGGGTCACCATGACCCCATAGCATGATGCGTCGCGGATTAGGGTTCGGCTTAGCGTCGCTTCTTAGACCCGAGAGGTTCGCGGCAACGTCATTGGGTCGAAAGGTCGGAGCCTTGTCTTTCCTCTCGCGGCGTTCGATCTCCTCGACTGGTGGAGATGTTAATGCTGGATGCTGCTATCGGTGGCAGCGCGGCTTCTGCGGCTACGCCGTGGAACAGTTCTCCGACGACGAGTATGAGTGCGAATTCGAGAGCCACAAGGTATGGATTGTGGTTTGTTCCACAAGTTCTTTTGCTTGCTAAGTCGTGTGTGCTTTAGTTAAGTTAAGGTCCATTAAATATTGAATTTTGGATTTAATAGCTCTTGGAATTGTTCTATGAAGTGGAAAATTGGTCGATTCACTTTCCAGAGAGTACTTTATGTTTCAGAGTATCAAAATGACCATATCCGAGGTTGCTCACTTTCCTGGACTTTTGATAGACTCTGGGCGTTTACGAAATGTATTTAAGCTGTCAGGATGTCAACTGATCTTCTTATTTAGTTAAATTACTAATGGAAACTTTGAACTTTCGAATTCAAAAGCTTAGTTGTTTCTCGAGCCCTTTTTCTGTTATTTTAGTAATCAGGACGATAATTTGTCTGCAGCCTTCTTCAGAGGCCAACATTGATGAATGGAGATGGAAACTTAGTTTGCTCTTACGCGGCACTGAAGAGCAAGAGATTATTTCCAGGGACAAAAGAGACCGACGTGATTATGAACAAATATCAAATCTTGCAAAACGAATGGGTCTCTACAGGTGACAACCGCTGCACATCCTTCAGTTGTGTCCTAAAAGAAAATTATTGCTTGCCAGCATATTGTTATCCTTAATATGCATTTTATTATTTGCACAGTGAGCTTTATGGAAAAGTGGTGGTTGCCAGCAAGGTTCCTCTGCCTAATTATAGACCTGATCTTGATGATAAGCGGCCACAAAGAGAAGTATGTAGTGTGTCAAAGGTTAATAATTTTATTTGTTGTTTCTGAACCAGCAAGTTCACTGTTCTGGAGTGAGTGCTTGTGTTACAGGTGATGATCCCTCTTAGCTTGCAGAGGAGGGTTGAAGGTTTACTGCAAGAACACCTTGATAGGGTGCTATTAGCATCCAACATTGTCAATGATGAATTGGGACGTAGTTCTTCCAGCAAGGATGTGGAAGATGTAGATGTTGATGAAAACCAGGATTCCTTGGTTGACAGTTCAGTCATGGAAAAGATACTTCAGAGAAAGAGCATACGAATGAGGAACTTGCAAAGAACTTGGCAGGTTGATCTTAATGCTTGGTGGTGTGCTGGTCTTCACTAGTAGCAGAGGCACAGTTTTACCTTTGCATTTATGACATAATCTGAAATATGGTGATCTCGTATGGTTGAAACAAGGGTTTTTGTCACTCGTACATTTTTTTTGGAATCAGTATCATATAGGAAGCCAATTATGATGTTCTAAAAGTATTTAATGAATTGATTTATGAAGTTAACCCTGTTGTTCTTAGGAAAGTCTTAACATGAAATGAATAAGTAAATAGCATGGAAGGAGAGAAGGTCGCTTTAACTTTATTTTCTTATAAGTTGTGGGCCCTACATTTGGAAATACAAGTCGAACCATTATTTGTCAGGTTGGCAAATCCTTCCGAACAGTTATAAAATGATGCCTTGGAATTACAGTTCATGTTAAATGTTTTATTCCAAAAATGGGGATTAAACCCCAGAGGTTAGAATTCCTAAAAATAACAATTTCTAAACAAAGTTGTTGGGAAACCAGGTGGTCTATATTGGGTGTGAAGTTGTGATACCAGAAACCTACATTAGATCTTTTTTTTTTCTTCTCTAAATTAAGATAGTGTGTTTGCAAGTAAGCTAAATCTTTTTTCTTTCTTGTTCCGAGAATTTAGTTTATATATATAAGAAAAAATGGTATGACCTTTATGTTAAACAGGACTCACCGGAGGGTGTGAAGATGCTGAATTTTAGAAACTCACTTCCAGCATACAAGGAGAAGGACGGACTCCTCTCTGCTATTGCACGCAATCAGGTCTTACTTTAAGCCAAGATACCTTTTAAAGTGTTTTTCATGAAAATATGTCGCATTTCATATTTAAATATCATGCCTGTTTGATTGCTACAAGTTGCATTATGGAAGAGAACTATCTTCAAGTTGAAGGGTCTATTTTAGCATTACTAGGACAAGGAACTTTCATTTAAATGGAAAAAAAAGATAGTCCATTTGTAACCAGGGTGCCAAGTATTTGAATCACTGGAATATTCTCTTTGCTTATGAGGATAAGACTGTACATTGACCTCATTGGTGGAAACCATGTACTGGTTTTGTCCTTCTTTGAGCTGTTACTGGAGTTCAATTATGCGCAATGAGACCTTAATTTTTCTTGTTTACAAACTCATTTTGGTAACACTTTTGACAGTGGCAGTTTACGGTTCAGCACGAACCAATTAGGCTTTGTGGTAGAAAAGGAAACTAACTTAACATTGTTATATTTTACCCCATCACGTGGAGAAAATTGAATTTTCTGACATGGGGATGTTGATATGAATAAGTATTTATGATAAATTGGAGGTAGTACTAGTTGAAGAAAGATGGTAAACATTTGTTTATTATGCTGTCCATATGGGCTGAAGTGGACATGGATAGACAATTTTTCAACTAAAGTTGGATGTGCTGCAAAGTGTGGATATGATCAACCCGAGGGTGATTTTTATTTACTGTTTATTTCATGATTTTTTTATATACATTGAATTTTTTTCTGTAGTTGATTGGCGGCCATTAATTTTCCTTGACTTTCAAAGTTTTCCATTATTTTAAGGCATGTCAAGCTTTTCTGTTTCCGGAGATTTTCATAACAATAAGAGTAGATTCAAGTACTTGCGTTACATATTATGTATAACTGGTTTCTGCTGAGATGACTAGACAATTATGTTGTACCATTTTGTTTAACCCTTTTATGTCTGAAAACATTGTCTAAATTTTCATGTTTATACTTCTCAGTTTGTGACTGCTTGATTTGTTTGGTAGTCTTTTGCTACTTACCATCTATGTCCTCATCAGGTCATAGTAATTTCTGGGGAAACTGGATGTGGTAAAACAACTCAACTTCCTCAGTATGTTCTAGAATCTGAGATAGAATCTGGGCGTGGGGCATTTTGCAACATCATTTGTACACAACCGCGAAGAATATCTGCTATGGCTGTTGCTGAAAGAGTTTCAGCAGAAAGAGGAGAAAATCTTGGTGAAACAGTAAGTTTTTGCATATTCATGTTCTCCAGTTGGGTGTATACAACTAGTTTAAATATGCTTACTAGGAAATTTTCTGTACAATCTTTTGTTCTAGACATTACCCTTTTGTGGTAGGTTGGTTACAAAGTTCGATTAGAGGGAATGAAGGGAAAGAATACACATCTCCTCTTTTGTACCAGTGGAATTCTGCTAAGAAGATTGCTTGGAGACCGAAATTTGAATGGTGTAACTCATGTTTTTGTTGATGAAATTCATGAACGAGGCATGAATGAAGGTGCATGGCATTTATAATACAAACAGATTTGCCTCCCTTTTTTGCAAGAATTATTTGAGCCCAGCTTACTGCTTGTAAAGATTGCATATGTGCCTCTGTGATGTGCAGATTTCTTGTTGATTGTGTTAAAGGACCTTCTTCCACGTCGCCGTGATTTGAGATTAATTTTGATGAGTGCAACTTTGAATGCTGAATTGTTTTCAAACTACTTTGGAGGAGCTCCAACAATCCATATTCCAGTATGCTAATGTCTAGTACATACTTTAGTACTCTTTGAACATCTACCTGTCTCTTTATCTTTCTATATTATTTATTTTTTTCATTTACCATGAACTCCTTACTGTTTGAAAATTCTTGTGATTCCTTAGAAAGAGTTGTGATTTATATTTACATAACTTCTTAACTTACAGGAGTTTTGTTGAAGACGGATCAGATTCTATTATCAGGAACCCACTCTTCACTAAATAAATGTTATCTAGATTGGTTAAAAGTGCACTTTTTTTAAAAGGAAAATTCTGTTTATGATCCTGCAAATGTTGAAAATACTAAATTTGGTCCTTGATAAATTGAATATAACTGGTATATTGCTTTAAAACTCAGAAACTATCATAGATACCACACTCAGCGGTATTTTTGATAGTTTGCTATGTGTCAAAAACTATCAAATATACCCCCATCTATGATTGTTTTCGAGTTTCAGGGTGATCTGCATAATACTTAACTGTTCAACTAGTATCTAAATTCTAGACATTTATATGCTATCTGCTGGAATTATAGATCCTATATCTTTTACTTTCTATATTGTTATGCATAATATTTCTTCTGAACCTCACCTTTTTTATGGTATGTATCAGAAAAGCTATATCTAACCACCTTTATCTCTGTGCTCTTAGCATGCTTGACTCAAAATTCCATAGATTAGCTTTTTGTAGATTCCAATTTGAGACCATTCATTAACATCATTTTCATCAACATTGTCTACAATTTGTTCTGAGCCTTGATTGAAAGTTGAGTGCTTGTGAAGCTATGATAAAAGAAAATCTTCTGTTGGCTTCAGGGTTTCACGTATCCTGTAAGGGCGCAGTTTCTTGAAGATATACTTGAGAAAACTGGATACAAACTGACTTCTTTTAACCAAATTGATGACTATGGCCAAGAGAAACTTTGGAAGACTCAGAGGCAGCTAATGCCACGTAAAAGAAAAAATCAGATTACTGCACTTGTTGAGGTACTAGTATGCATGGCAGAATCTGATGAATAAGTGACATTTTTTTTTATATGTTGCTGCTTTTCCGATGCAGGATGCTCTTCAAAATTCAAGTTTTGAGGGATACAGTTCCAGAGCACGTGATTCTTTGGCCTCCTGGACACCTGATTGCATAGGTTTTAATCTTATTGAGGCTATTCTGTGTCATATATGTCGTAAGGAACGACCAGGTGCTGTCCTTGTATTTATGACTGGTTGGGATGACATTAGTTGCTTGAGGGATCAGCTGAGGGCTCATCCTCTCTTAGGAGATCCAAACAGGGTTTTGGTACTTACATGTCATGGTTCTATGGCTACTTCTGAGCAGGTAATTTTTCAATGGTGAAGATTCCATCATTTTGTTTTTTCAATTGCATCTTATGCTACTTTTTAGTAGTCTTCAATTGCTAATTGTAAATGAGAAATTCTTAGTTTTGTCATGGCTGAACTCCTACTTTCGTCATTATTGGTCATTCTCATAGATTTGAAGGGTAATAATTTTTATGATCTGCATTGAAACATATAAAAACATACATTACTGGAAGTCACATTCCATAATCTTCCTGTGTTGGTTATAAAGCTATTTAGTTTGGGTATTTCACATAGTTTTGGGCGCTAGTCATTTAGGAAACTAGAACTTGAATGCCACTGTATGCTGGTAATATCAACAGTGAAGATCATTTTCATTGGTATGTCTCAGAACTTTGTTCATACTTCATATACACTTGTTCCATATTGTGGAATGTTAACTATAGGTGTCATCGCCCAGGTCTGGGTCCCATTAATATAAGATTGGATCTACGGAGCAACTCAAAGTTGAAAAATACTTGACGGAAATTTTGACCAAGTTATATAATTAGCTATGTAGCTTATGTTGAGCCTCTCAGGTTGGTTCCAAACTCTCCTGAGTCTGGGTTACTAGTGGAACTTGTGTAATTATACAGATAGTAAATTTCAACTTAAATAACAAGGCTTTGATTTAGTGGTTAAGTTCCTAATGGAAAAGTTTGTAGGGTCAAATCTCACCGATTATGCTTCTTTAATATTGGACATTGTTACTGCTGTTGTTGGGCCCTGTAGGTCTACCTAGAATTAGAATAATTGTTGTTATTGCAAAAAACATTGATAGAATTATTGTTGTTATTGGACATTGTTACTGCTGATGTTGAGTCCTGTAGGTCTTCCTAGAATTAGAATAATTGCTATTATTGCAAAAAACATTGATTAGATGATGCTAATGTCCCTCTTTGATCAAGTATGATGGTATATACATAATGCTAATAACCATTAGGCATTAGTTTTTGTAATGCTATATTTATTTGTTAAAACATCTGTACCTACTTAAGTTGTGCTGGTTGCAGTTATTTCAACCATATTTGAGTTTTTATTAGATTTTCATACCATGTCATTTATTTAAGCCTTTTAAATTTACCTGCTCAAGCCAAAGTTTATTAACCCTCTTTCTTGAGACTTGAGAGTACAACCCAATATCCTTTCAGATGTGAAACAAGCTGCGGGAGAAAAAGAAATCTATAAAAATTAGAAGGGGTGATGAAGGAATGTGTTATTAGATTGTAATATTGCAAAGTATGCTTCTCTGGTTGAAGAATCATAGGCCTATTGGGTAGTGTGATTTACTTGTTATTGGCCCCTCTTGAAAGATCATGATGTGCATCAATTGGCCTGAGGGACTAGATTAATTGTCCAATGCAAAGCTTATAACTTCATGTTGATGAAATATTTTGGTATTCTAATTGTTCTCCCAATAATAAAAATATATGTCGGATAAGAAAACTCTGTCATTCATAGTCATTCAATTTGATGCTGCACTTTTCTCTTTTGCAGTCACTTACTGTCCATTGGTAATATGCAGAAACTCATATTTGAAAATCCACCACCTAATATACGAAAGATAGTCCTTGCAACAAACATGGCTGAAGCAAGTATTACAATCAATGATATTGTGTTTGTTGTTGACTGTGGTAAAGCAAAAGAGACCACCTATGATGCACTGAATAATACGCCTTGCTTGCTGCCATCCTGGATCTCTAAAGCTTCTGCCCGCCAAGTAAGATATTTCCCTCAAACTTTCTTGTTTTTGTTGGTGATTCATCTGTTGATTTTCTTTTGAATTTTGAAATAAGAATGATTGCCATTTTCATTGCTTATTCATATGCAAATTATATTTTCTTCTCTATCTTTGAATAATTTTATTTAGTGGGATATCCATAAGACAGTTGATTTGGCATTATGTGGGACGCCACATCCACCTGCAACAATCTGCATGTGATAATTGTATCCATGAGTTTGACACCAGACCCTTCTATTGCAAAACAGGTCAAAGGAATAAAATTGAAGGACGTTGACATTAACAGTGGACTTATTTGATTTATGAGGCTTCTATTCTTGCCTACAAAAAAAATTATGTATCCTATATAATTAAAGTCTTATATGTCACCCAATTTTTATCCTTTTCTGTCACAAGTGACGGCCTGTAAATTTAGAAATATGTGTAAATGCAATTTCATTTCACCTACATGCTGCCATCCATCAATTTAAATAGCTGACAAAACCGAAGGTTGATTCTTAATCCTATAAGTGGTGATGCTGTCTCAATGGATGGTTAATGAAGTACTCCATAGTCCATACATCTAAACACAAGAAGGAATTTTTTAATGGTACTAAACAGAAGCATCTGAATACACCATGGTGACAGATATGGTGCAAAAAAGAGGGCATTCTTCTCTATGCCTTGCACCAAGAAAAGAACTACTATTACATGATCCTCTCGGTAAACCACTTTTAGGTGTAGATAATTCCATCAACTATGATCATTAACCCGTTATATCCATGACTACTGTGCTTGTTGGGCAATGTGCAGCATAAATCCGTCAGGAAAAAGCAACAGTTTGATCACTTATATTTATCTTAAGTCTCTTGTTTGAATCAATTTCATATACTGCCTTATGTTGAATTTCGTAGTTGTAGCTTGGAGAAGATAGAACTTGAATTTCTTGACATTTTCTTTTATATAGTATATGACTCTAACCATTTGATTGTTTAATTATGTAATAAAGAATACCTGATAAATAAGAGCAAATCGAGGTTATATATTCAACTGATGAAAATGTGTGGCTGCATGTTTTGTGAATGATATTGTTATCAAAAGCTACATCTTTAACAACAATATCTGTAAGAGGGTCAAATCACTCAAATATTTTGGCAACTTAGAATTTTATCAGATGATGCCATCCTTGACTTCCTACCGAAGGAGACATCCTTGATCTGTTCAAAACTGCATAAATTCATTATACTTTTAATCTTTTGGTTGATTGTTTGTCACTTTGTCTCTCCATCTTGTTTGCTAATTCTTTTATTTTCTCTATGATGAGATTGCAGAGGCGGGGTAGAGCTGGTCGTGTGCAGCCTGGGGAGTGCTACCATCTCTATCCTAGATGTGTATATGATGCCTTCGCAGAATATCAGCTTCCTGAGCTTTTAAGAACTCCATTGAACTCCTTATGTTTGCAAATAAAAAGTTTGCAGGTTGGTAGCATTGGGGAGTTCTTATCTGCTGCCTTGCAGCCACCAGAACCACTCACCGTAAGTGATGCAAAAGCTCACTTATAGGATCACTAGTTCCTAAACAATTTTCTCTTCTTCAGAACATTCATGCATAATCTTGTATAATATGGAAAAGATATTTTTTGAGGAAGAGGTATTCGGTATATGATCCCTTGTTACTTAGTTATAGGAAATTAAGAAGTTATGTATAATTGGATTAATGTAACAAAATCAGAATGACATGAGCTTTAGAAGTAAATGTTTAAACCCAAGGAATTCAATTCTGGGTACCAGTCCTGTGCTGGTCCATGATGGTACTCTGCCACTGGCGGCTGCAACATGCCGATAACAACCACTAAGTCCACTATGTCTTTGCATCTTTTCATGTACCGCCCAGTAGTTGTACAAACACTTTGTGAGTCATTCCGTTGGTCGACATTCCTGCATTGCTGAAATTGGCCAACTAACCTCACAGCCTATACTATGACAGGGAAATTTCTAGGGCTGAATTTCAGTGTGGAACAACAGTTTCAGGACCATGGAACCTCCTGGGTGACACATGGCTGGATGGGATATCAGAGTGGTCTGGGAGGGGTAGTTGACAGTCTTTAGTGGGTCCTCTTGTCGAGAAGGCTTCAAGTGAATTGGGCACGGCTGATGAAACTTTCAAATGTCCTTTTTTGTGCCTAAGAAAGTTCTTTGCTTGTCCTTTGCTTGTTTGGTTCCTGTCCGGAGTGATGACAATTTTTTTTACGGTAGTTTGTTTCTTGAGATATCTAATCAACCTGAGTTTTCCTTTTTAGCTTGTTCTCAACAAGATTGTGTTTCATAGCATCAAAACATGTTTTTTTCTGTAAATTATGGTTTTATTGATGTGGTTAATATGTTTGTTCTCCAAATGGTGAAGGCATGAGCTGGTTGTGCCTGTGGTTTCAAATATCGATTGTGCTGGTATATTCTGACTGTTATTTACCAATCTGAGGAAGGATTGGTACTGGACCATATGGCTCAATGCTAATCAGCATTTGTTTTCCCTATTTTATTAATGAAAGAAAGCAATATAAGTCGGTGTTGCTGAACTGATCCAACAATGTGTCAGATGTAGTGTTGGACTGGTGTTTAAGAAATCATGGTTTCACCTGCTGTCCATCCTATCATTGGCCACCAGCAAAAATCCTTCTTTCCCATATTAGCTGGTTTCTGGCATTTCAGTACACTGCTTGGAGTTGAATTTCTTGATATATGCAGGTCCAAAATGCTGTTGAATTTCTGAAGATGATTGGGGCACTAGATGAACAGGAAAATCTTACGAATCTTGGTATGATGTTGAATTAATATGAAACCTGAGGTGTCCTCCCCAGCTTATATATATTTCTACTTTGTCTCCCATATGCAGGGTTTTATATTTTGTTGCATCATGGAGTATTCTGGATTTTATGTTTCTTAAACTTTGACTTTGCACTGTGTAGGTCGATATCTATCAGTGCTTCCGGTTGATCCAAAGCTAGGAAAGATGCTTATCATGGGTGCTGTCTTTCGTTGCCTTGATCCAGTTCTTACGGTAGTGTCTGGATTAAGTGTCAGAGACCCTTTTCTCTTACCGCAGGACAAGAAGGATGTAAGTCCGTATCTTTATTCATCAAAATCCAAAAAGAAGAATATGTAATACATTGGGTTTCACATGTGTTAGTGTTCTTCATAAAGTGTAATTACTTTTTGGAATTTCCTGGTTGTTGTCATGTAGAGACTGTAGCCAATATAACCTCCTCTACACTTTCACAAAACCCTTCTGATATTCTGAACATTTTCTGTCATCCTGAAACATTTGGATTGGTTTGTTGCTTTTAATTTTTTTATCCTCATTTAGTCATCTAACTATTGACATCTGTGCGACATTTTATCACTATATTTGTACTCTACAGCTTATTGTAATTAGAGAGATGCATCTTGAATCAATGTACTGTTAGAATGAAATATATGATTAACGTTCAGTTTGTATCTCCTGTTCAGTTGGCAGGAACTGCAAAATCAAGATTCTCAGCTAAGGACTACAGTGATCATATGGCTCTTGTCCGTGCATATGAGGGATGGAAAGATGCAGAGAGAGAAGGTTCTGCATATGAGTACTGCTGGAGGAACTTCCTTTCAGCCCAAACACTTCAGGCTATCCATTCACTTAGGAAGCAATTTAGTTTTATTCTAAAAGATTCTGGTCTTTTAGATGCTGACTCCAGCATCAATAACAGCTTAAGCCATAATCAGCCACTGGTCCGTGCTATCATATGCTCCGGACTCTTTCCTGGGATAGCATCAGTTGTGGTAAAGGGCTGATCATATTTCTTTCTGTAATTGCTTGTACAATTTTTCCTTCTTATGTATGCACTTCATTTTTCATTTGTGTTATGCTTGTGTAGCACAGAGAGAAGTCTCTGTCTTTCAAAACGATGGATGATGGCCAGGTCCTACTTTATGCTGTAAGTGCAGACTTGTAAATTGATTTTTTTTTTTGTGTCTTTAATAGTCATTTCATTTATCATATTATAGGGGAAAAATATGGCAATGATTGCTACATTTTGTCCGTCCTTTTGAGTATATAGATACTGCATCCAATTTTACTTTTTAGACACTAGAAGGCAAGAGATTCATTGGAACTATAGAAATTAACATTACTGCAGGTTGCTGTATGATGCATGCATATATAATTTTTAGGATGAAAGCTGTGAACCATGGAAATCGATTTGAAATCTGGACATTACAAGATATTATAAGATGTTGCACAAACTCTTGAATGGACAGATATGATGATAAGAAACTCTTGATTGGACAGATTTGATGATGATGAACTTTTGAACTAACTTGTTTACATCATGAAAATATAGGGCAACAGTGACGTTCATCTACTAGTATTTGACTCTATATATTCAATTTTCAATGTATGTACACTTCACCAGGATTTCATGTTTGTTACCTGTGTTAATTGGTTAACATTTGTGTCAGACTGGAAAATTTGTACTAGGTGTATGCCACATTGTCACGGCCTTAGCTGGAATTGCCTAAGGCGTGAAGCACCCTTGCGGCCAAGACGCGAACTTAGCTTGCGTTGCCTAAGTCGCGCTTCACCCTTGCGATATTGCTCCGCAAAGATCAGCCCACTTGTAACCTCTCGCAGGTCCCGAAGGACCTGTAAAAGAGAAAGCTGATTAGTTCGAAAGAACGAGCGACGGACAAGTCCCGACGTCTCGCGAAAAGAGGGGAGGCTTTACAAGCAATTCAGCGAGCACCTTGCGTGCACAAGAGAAAAGAGGGAGAGGGGGAAAACAAGGGCTTTAGAAGGTTGAACGAACAGCTGCAAGCCCACAAACAGCTGCTCATCGAGTCCCGGGCACGACAACAAGTTCCCGTCAAGGCAACGTGCGAACTTGCGAATGAGTGCTCAACGCCCGGTACTATACCGAAGCCCCATCCAGCCCTGTGCCACCCGGGGGGTTCCAAGGGGCTGAGATGGTTGACGTTTGGGTGAGCGGAGGCAGATTCCAGAAATCAGCCCGCGGCACACGAAAACGGAGTTGTTTTGGGCTGTTTTGGGGCTGTTTTGCTCGGTTCGGTGAGCGGTCGCTTTATAACGCTGCAGCTTGTTCGAGTTTACATTTTTACAAGCAAAATGACTCAAAACCAAGGCAAAACAGGCTGCCAAGTAACTGTACATGTAGATGAGAGCGACGAACAGTTTGTTGAACGGAGTTGTTGCGGGTGCGCGACGACCGTTCGTGACAACATGGGACCATGATTTGCCATATTTAGCATACCACGCTCTATATACTGCCATTAACTAGCCATGACCACCCTGCTGGGTGTCCAATCGTTACTGCAGTGCATACAAAATGTGTCTAGGCACCTGCTTGTGTGATTTAACTGACTTTGATGTAATATATGAACACTGTTTCTAGTAATTGACTATGTCTGCTTTAGATGCATACAGAATTTATCTAGTTGTTGAAGTTGTGTTGACCTTTTGTTTACAAAAGCTAGTTCTATTCACTTTCGGCATTTGGTTGGAGTCATTCATTCTGACTGAAGCTGGTTTTTATTGCATCAGAATTCTGTAAATGCGAAGTACCAGACAATCCCTTATCCATGGTTGGTCTTTAGTGAGAAGGTCAAAGTGAATACTGTTTTTATTCGTGATTCTACAGGTGTATCTGATTCAGTACTGATCTTGTTTGGTGGAACCCTCATCAGGGGAGAAATGGTAGTCTTCTCTCTGGATTATATACCTTTCAGTGATTTAATGACTGTGCTATAGCTGACTTGATATTTGTGGCTAGGCTGGGCACTTAAAGATGTTAGATGGCTACATTGATTTCTTCATGGATCCAAGTTTAACAGAATGCTACTGGAACCTCAAGGCGGAACTTGATAACCTTGTACAAAGAAAGGTAAACATGAATCTAATATTAAAATATGTTATTCAGCAATAAGTTAAATGAATTATGTTATTGTGATTTTTTTCAATGTTGTAAGTGCATGTTTTACGTTCCTTCCATTAAGCTACAAGCAAATGAATCTTCCAAGAGCATCCAAAAGGTGATGTTATATAATAGGACTTGTCATATCAGATAAAAGGAACTAAAAGAAAGTTTAGAAATAGCAAACTAAGTAACATCCCATATCACGTCACTAATTTAAATATTTTATGCGTCAATCTCAGTTAAGCTGACCACAAATAGGACACTACGGCTTTGTCTTGTTCTTATTATATTTTTAAAATTCAGTTGGTTGTATTTATTGACTAATTACCTTATGGTTGGATCCATTGTTGAATTTACTTGTATATAACTTTCACTACATTAATATACCCTGATGTGAATGCAGCTTCTAGATCCGAGAACAGATATCCACAAAGAAGGCAGGTACCTAATGCTTGCCGTGCAGGAGCTTGTCTCAGGTGACCTGTGTGAAGGAAGGTTTGTATTTGGACGGGAAACAAGAAGGACCAGATTTAGCGGCAACGAGGGCAACAAGAACAATATTGTGAAAGATGGAACCAACCCAAAAAGCTTGCTGCAAACCTTGTTGATGAGGGCAGGCCACAGCCCACCAAAGTACAAGACGAAGCATCTGAAGACGAATGAATTCCGGGCAATAGTGGAATTCAAAGGGATGCAATTTGTGGGAAAACCAAAGAAGAACAAGCAGCTTGCTGAGAGGGATGCTGCTATAGAAGCTTTGGAATGGTTGACCCACACTTCGGACAAGAGCCACCAGGTTGAAGATGATGACTCCCCACTTGATATCACTGAGAATATGCTGAAGCTTCTTAACAGACCAAGGCGAAGGTCAAGGCGTCGTTCGGGCTGATGGTGACACCTGGAGAATCCAGCAGACCGCAGATGCTGCTAGTATTATTACTAGAGGCATGCCTCTAATTGTGCCAGATTCTTTTTCACCTGGGGAGGCTCTCATCATTCTTTTGCTTACTGGGGCAATTCTGAGTAAGTGATAATAAGACCAAGAGCCAAACGGTGCGGCATGACACATGGATGACGAGATTGGTAACAATAGATCATCTTGATCAAGGCAGATAAACTTTTCAGAATGCATCAATGTAATCTGTAGGCTAATTCAGGAAATTATAGTCTGTTTATATATTATATCTTTTTTTGGGTACCATTCGATCTTTTTTACGGGGGCAAAGGAGTTTAATCAATTCTTATGTTGTTGTGACAGTTATATATACAGGAGGCAATAGGTAATATTAAAGAGGACATGAGCATGTCCAGGTGTAAAATGCATTCTAGTTCCTTGGCTGCTACATTGGCAGTTTATTTTTTGGAGACATTTATTTAAAGAAGTGAGCTTTCAGAATCACTGTAAACTAAATTTTGGGATACATTTGACAGGATGTCTTGTACGGAACGATCACAATCTTTTAGTTCCCCATGTCTATGAAACAATGCCTACGTCACTGCTTACCTCTGATCTGTCGTCTTATCTTAATAGATAGATAAAGGCAGGCAGAATCCAACATTCCATATCTTTATTATTATTTTTAAAATAACAGACTATATTAAAGCTTAATCAGGTGGATGTAAAATGGATAAAAAAATAAATTAACCATTGGGTAAAAAATAAATTATATTTTTTGGGTTAAAAATCACAATTAACCATTGATAAAAAAAAAAACAACAAACAGTCAAGCGAAGTGTTTTTCAAAAATCAAAGCATAGCCTCAAAATTGTTAAGAGAATTCATATATTTCCTCAGCCATTTTCTGTTGCAAAATATAATCATCCAAAAATTGCTTCGCTCTCCGTAAGTGAAACTGCTCTTCTAGCTCTCGAAGAATAACCTCCAACCACCAAATTAATTCCCTTGTCGGTCTTCGAGAATGAATCCTAATCCTGCACAAACATTACAACTCACAAAGGATGCATTAGTTTCAATAGAAAACTCAAAGTTAGTAGGGTAGCATATCAATTCCTTGTTCATCCAGTGTTCCCCATCCCCCTCAGGCAGGTGCACATCATTCACCTCGTTGACTAAAGCACACAGCTTGCACCAAAGTGTTGTAACATAGGCCCTACAATTGCAGAAATGACGGTCATTATGGTGGTTCCAAAGAGTGCAAAGGAAATTGGTAATGACAGCGTGCATGCTGTCACTCTGTTCCTTCTTAAGCCCGTCACTCTCTTCTAACCATCTACCATTCATTCACTCAACAAAGAACTTGAAACTATGCTGCAGTTTTTGCTAGACAAATAACTGGTAATCTAAGGCAAAGGCGAATTCAAAAAGGAAATGCACAACTAAATCAATAAACCCCAAACAAACAGGACAAGCAAGCAAGGGATTGCTAGAGAATTTAGAAAACCATTCGGATGTAGGAAGACTGCCCCACGCTAATTTTCACAAAAATATTTTGATATTTGGAACCACGACAATCTTCCAAATCGCCTTTTAGCCAGCCCTAACGTTAACTGGTGATTGGTGCATATTATCGAGAACACTGTAGGCACTCCAAGCCATCATGATCCCCTTTGGATGAGTAGACGAACACCAGATGTTATCACTAGAGCTAAGGGATACATAAATAGCAGCTACCTTCTCGACTAGGCTAGAATAAAATATTCTATGTAAAGCAGTTCTATCCCATTGATTAGAGGAACCCATTGTCGCCCCTTTAATTAGTCATCTATAATGCTATTTACTATTGTGCTGCCATTAGACAAGTAATGATGCCCACATCAGGTGATAAAGGGTGCTCACATCGGGTGGTAGAGGAAAGTTTCGACTGACCTGTTACGGGACTACCGAAGTGGCCACATCGAGCAATTGTGATGGCCACTTCGGTAGTAGAATTGTGATCTAGCATAATATTACTGAGAAGCCTACTTCTAGAGGAGGTTGGGTCTCGATCGATTTGATACAATGTCGCTAAGATGCCCTCCTTAAATGGTCAATATACTCGAAGGAACCCTTATGGATTCTTCAAAAATATACCAGGGGCTTCAAAGGCATCATGCATTGGAGATACTTATATCCATAAAGGATACGTTAGATGTTATAATGCTTTATTAGTAAAAGACACATTAGATGTTTCATATGTTTTTATCCACGAAGAATGTATTACACATTGAAAATACTTATATTAATAAAGAATATTTATTTGGTTTTTATTTATAACACAGATGGTATGACCAACTAAAATCAAAACATTTTTTACTAATAAAAAAATGATGATAATAAAGTTGGGTGGCTTTAAATATGTTCTATATATCCCCATATAAACTCGTCCTATTTCTTTGAAGAAAAGCATTAATATTGTGAGACTAATGACCAACCATTCTCCTCAACTGACGGTAGCAAAGTTACTGCGGTATTAAAAGGTGCTGTGGTTGCCCTGTAAATCACATAATAAATCCCTCTCAAATATGCAAACAAATTTAAATTACGATTTTTGCTAATTTTATTGAGTCTCTTCCCATAATAACTAGCACAAATCTCGCATGATAAAAGATTAAAGAGCCATCACATCACGTCTTGCCCACTTAATTTTTCATTGCAATTAATCTTTGTCCTTTCCCTATACGCGAAACCGATTAAATATTCGTATCAACTGAAAAGTGGAAGCAATTCAAATTCCATTGACGGCGTGATGGAAGACACGACGATGATGTGGGTCAACGTGAGCTGTGAGCTGGAGTTAGCCTAAGCAGCAAGAGTACGACTGTTCACAGCAGACTTCACGCACGTTACTGACGTGGAAGAAACCACCTCTGCAGACATGGGCAACGTGCAGAGATCCATCCAACCCCCAACGGCTATGTTTTTGCCGACCCCCAATTGTCTTCCTATTCCGTGCGATCGGGGCCCCACGCTGACCAACGTTACCCCACAAAGCTGATGTCGATCTAACGGCTGGGAACGACGGACTCGCGACCAAACTAAAGAATGGCAGGGGTAATATCGGTATAAGAATTGTTTCAAACCCTTCCCGTAGTCTCCACCCGCCACCATCATCCCCACCCACCACCCAAATCGCGTCACCAACTCCCGACCTTGAGCACTAAAATCAAACGATTATTTATCCGTTTAACGTTATACTTCCACTTTTCGCAGTCTTCATCTGTCTCCGGCGCGTCTATAAATGAAGCATCGGCCTATTTTGATGGCTACTAGCTTGGTGGTACTCGGAAAGGAGTGTATTTGAACGAAAAGCCCGGCTTCTGGAGGAGTTTCCCTTTTTTATCATTTCTTGTTTGAGGTTTCTCCTCCTCCTCCTCCTCCTCCTCCTCCTCCTTCTGGCTTTAATCAGTAATGATTTCGTATATCGAGTTCAATCTTCGATCTCTTGTTTTATTGTTGTCTTCTTGATGTGAAAGTTCGTGTTTTTAGGTTTTTTTGTACCTCGGATTGCTCCCTAGTTGTTAAAATCGTCCGCTTCATAGGAACGATTGCTTTTTTATGTTTGGCGATCATTTCTTCTAATCGCGAATGCTACTAAGAACAAAATCGTGGATCATACATCCATAAACACGCAAAAAGACTCTGCCATCCGAATACTAGTGAAACTTGATCCGAGACACATTTCGACTCGTCTCTTTGAACTACTCTGCTTTCCCGCAACAGATCCTTTTCTTCAACTTATAGCTAACTGCTGCACTGCATTCAGTCTCAAAGCACTTGAATAAACGACTATCGGAATGTAGTTTTTGTGAATCTATATGGGGGCTGTTGGCCAATGTGCCATTTCGAAGAAAGAATTTAGAATTTGTGACTTGTAAACCGACAGAGAAAGTTTTGGAAAGGCATACAATTTTTGGATAGTTCACAATCCTTTGTCTTTACTTCTTGCTATCCTGGTGGTGTTTCTTGTTGTAACTTGGGTCTTACCTACCTATCCTATCATCTGTGAGTGCTTGGTACCCGATCTTTTCTCTTGTACAAAGTGTGAATTCACCTGTTCTTTGACCTTTCCATTGAAGCATTCATCATTTGACCTGCTTGATATGGCTGTTATCTTTGTTCTCATTGTCCCACAACATTTTCTATCTAATTTCTTGACGAGATTGATATCATCATCTGTATACGTCCATATGTGGTTTGTCTTTTGCTATTCTCAGTTTCTGATTTGCTGAGTGAGAGCTTTCTGATAATTAAGGGCTCGGCCCTTTGCATCTTCTTGCATCCTTTGCTTTGTCTATATGCTCACTTCATGAATTTATAGTATCAGATTTGTTGAAAGGATCTGAAAAAGTTATTGCTGCATCTGAAGATGGGAACTTGGCGGACACAAATGCTTGGAATTCTGTTCCTGATGTGCTGGGCGGCAACCATACAAGCAGAGTACATGAAATACAAAGACCCCAACCAGCCAGTGAATGTTCGAGTCAAAGATCTGATGAAGCGCATGACTCTTGCTGAAAAAATTGGTCAGATGACACAGATCGAGCGAAAAGATGCCTCACCTCAAGTCTTGAAGGACTACTTAATTGGTGAGTGTCAATGACTAATGCATTCATCTTGTCTTTGTAATGTCATGGGAAGATAAGAAGAGAAGCTGGCTACACACATAATGAATCACATACATCTTACAGGTAGCATTCTTAGTGGTGGGGGAAGTGTTCCTGCTCCTCAGGCATCTGCTAAGGACTGGGTTAATATGATAAATGAATACCAGAAAGCCTGCCTGTCGACACGATTGGGAATTCCCATGATTTATGGGATTGATGCTGTTCATGGCCACAATAATGTCTATAATGCAACCATATTCCCTCATAATGTTGGTCTTGGAGCCACAAGGCAAGTTTCATGTTTACTTCCATTTGTTGCATAATGTGATTTTAGGTTTCTTCCAAATATTGACATTTTGTTAAAGCTAGAAACTTAATTCTCTGAACTTAGCGCATGAAGTACCAACATTCTTCCTTAAATTAGCTCTCGGTTTGCCAAACTACCACTTGATGAAAATTGATTCGAGATAATCACATCTGTCTATATTTTCTATTCCTTGTACTGTGTGTCAAGAAGATTTTGTTGCTGTTGCTAGGAAAATTATCTTGTCTCTTGTGTTAACCTATCCTACAGCATTTGTTAGTTGAAACACAGGTTGGCCATTCAAGTATTAACTTCATAATTTATTAGTGAAAGGTTTGGAAAGTACTCCTGGTTTGCTTTTCATATGGTGATCTGAGATTTACTTCTCTGCTCTATGGCACTGCATGCATTCAATTGAGAAAATATCATTCTAGCTTTTCCTATTTTACTCATTCTCTCTTTTGGTGTCTTTTTTTTGTTTTGTTGATACTGTTGGCATGTTCATGAGCAATGAAGGCTCAGTGAAATCACTATTGTTCATCTCATCCTATCTGGACTTAC